TGTAATATTTACAAACTATATAAATCACAGATAAGTTATAAAGTGTATAGTTAGTTTAATAAAAACATCACGAAGTCGTGCTCGTTTTCTGCGTCTTACAGTTTACTTGCCACATTCGGAAGATGGCGTGTAGGTACGCTTTAAAACTTTTGATGTCAATTTTTAGAGTGGTAAGTATTTTATAAATTAGAAAATGCTTATATAAAAAGCCAATATAATTATTACAACTATTCATTTTTTTATTTTTAACCGACTTCCAAAAAGGAGGAAGTTTTCAATTCGTCAGAATCATGTTTTTTTTATGTATGGTCACCGATTACTCGAAGACGCTTGAATTGATTTGGATTAATTAAATTTTATCGAAATCGGTCGAGCGGTTTTTAAATTTAAATTTAACAAATTTTTTTAATAAATTGCTTAATCGAATATGTTATTAAAAAAACATTCTTCTTACAAATTACCTGCTTATTACGTCTACACTATAAATGGAAAAATAAAAACTAAAAAAAAACTGACTTCGAAAATATCTGATTAGGTATCAGCTATTCTAAATGAAAACCCCCGTTTAGTTATTTTTTACATTTTAGTGCCTGGAAGTCGGTTTTTTTTAAGTTTTTATCCTTCTTTATTATAGTAAAGTTAGGAGTATTGAATTTAAAGAATTAACATTTACAAGTTGAACTCGAGCTCAATCATAAAGTTTTTAATCTATTTAGCCGCTGTCTTGGAGGTGTATCAGATCAACAAACTGTTGAAGATACGAAGTTGCTAGCAGCCGGGAAAGCAAACTACATTGGATATTATCTTCTTAGCTCTAAGTAAACTTTGCTAATGTAATGAAAGAAAAATATAATTATTTTGGAGTTTAAACGAGCTGTTCTTATTTTGTTCACAGTTTTATTTAACTTAAATATATATACTGAAAAGTTTTGCCATTGCACTACTCAAAGTAATTATGCTATCAATAGTACTTTTAAAAATACAAACTGACACTCATCATATTATTTGTATAATTATTAAATATTCGATCAAATTATTAAATTTCGGTTGCAATTAGTGTCAAATTTAATATATTATAGAACATTTAATAAATCTGATAAAACCTTTGTTGCATACATAATCCCCGCTTTGTATGGGAAAGCACAGTATGGGGCGCGGTTTGTCTCTTTGAATCAAGTCGACTGATTGGATTGAAAATCAGCAATACGTTTTATTTGTGTTCAGATGATTCGTAGATTTGTTTTCTATTATATATAAAAAATAATTCTTATTTATAGAAGTAACAGTACAAAATTTACATTACAACTACAACAATAGATGATATGGCAGATGTGACCAATCCTAAACTACTACTTAACTACGGTACATATGTACAAATGTACAATGCCTCACATATTATATTTTTACATACAAAACGATTTATTGAATTCTAATTTGCTATCGAGAATTTATTACTATCTAAAAATAGTAATAATATTTTGAAATTTAAAATTTGTGACGATTAAAAGTGATTATAATTATCATAGATATTGGCGGCTACCTTTGTGGCTGGCTTCGGAACAGTAATAATAATAATAACTTTATTCATAAATAAGGAAATTGAACATAGAACATAGTAATTTTTACAGTAAAGGCTTGTACAAATCAATTTCATACGGTTGGGTGAAGTACTGTACTCCTTGCTAGGTTATAAAAACTAAACTAACCACAGTAAGTACTTACAAAACAGTAACAACTCTATTTAATTTACTAAACTTCATCGAAATCTGTCGAGTCGTTTCAGCGTGATGGAGTACCAAACAATACAGACATACAAACTTTCGCAATTTTAATATTCCGATCAACATTATATAAATACTAGCGACTCTCCATCGCTTCGCTCGGGTTCGTCCCTAGCTTGATTCCCCATACAAACTTTCATTCCCATTTTCACCCTCTTAAGGGATGATTTTCGAGATAAAAAGTGTTCTATGTCCTTCCCAGGGTCTCAAACTATCTTCTTACCAAATTTCATCTAAATCGGTTCAGTAGATCCAGAGATTACCCCCTACAACGTCACAAACTCACAAACTTTACTTCTTTATAATATTAGTATAGATTAAATATTCACTTTACTAATTGAAACTGCATAGTTCTGCCACTTGCCGTTCACCGCCAATATATACAAATTGTTAAAACATACAGAGGTTTTTTGTTTATAAAATCCATATTCGATGAAATGATTCGATAAAAACTGGTCATTACTTATTCGTATTTAGCGGATAGTGAAACCGGTCGCTGAGTGCTTCTTTTTTGCTATTTTTATTACTTGTACTTTTTTTGCGATTGTAATAAATTACGACAATAGATTGCTATAATTAATAGATCGTGTTCAATTATTATCGTAGTATTGGCAATCGAATCTAATAGGCGTTTAATATTCGATGTTTGTGTTTGTTTTTTTTAAATCCGTATTGTAATAGTAAAATTGATGTTGTATGTCTTCATTGTTTATATATTTTTTATTGAGTATACTACAGGTAGTATACCTTTGTATATATATAAGACTAGCGACTTATCCTCATTTCGCTCGAGTGCATGACTAGGCTTGAGGCTAACTTTTTAAAAAGTATTTTGCTTCTTATTAAAATCTAAATATCCATTAGATATAAATTGTTTTTATGTCAATTACATCACTTGTCATTGCAAAATCAAAATTAGGAATCTAGAATCTGGTATTTCATCTTAAATAAAGTTTTGATATACGTTTTTCTCTTCCATGCTATATAATTTATCAATTTATTGATTTGATTTTTTTAAATCTGGTTCTGCGTAACGTAGAGTTAACTCTAGAACCGCACTTGTTGTATAGGACTTTAACGGAAAGTGGATCTGGCAAATTGCAACGGTTCGCGATGGAATGATTGAGCTTATTATAATTAGATACAGACAGAAGTACGGATGACGGAATAATGACAGCTGATGGTTTTATTATGATGGCTTTTTTATTACATATCTTGTTGGAGGCAAAAACAATGACAGTTGTTGTAATTAGATGAAAAAATACAAAAGGCTATTACAATATAAGACAAAAATTCAGTGGAAAAGAAATACATTGGAATGCAACAAACATCAATAGAAGTATCTATCAATAAAATGTTTGGAAAATTTAAACTATTATAATTCAATACTCCTAATTGTTGTTTTTTGTGTCGGTATTGTAATTGCGAAATGTATAAATAGAATGTTTATACTTTTATTGGAAAGCAAAAAAATATATATCCAGAGAAATTGGTCTCAAACGAGCTGATTAAGCCGAAACAGAAATAAGCAAATTAATGAAGTAGGCACTCTTTGTAGAGATACTATCGATCAGTGGAAGCGTGTGCACTCGTGTCTACTGTGCGGAATATATTCGAGTGCAGAACAATAATTTTGCTTGTTAAAATTCGCATAATTATTGCAGATTTTCATCTAGTGTGTATAGTGGTGTATGAAAGTGCACATTTGCATTCATGATGGTTTGCTCATAATTGGTATTTGCGAGTCGCGGGTCGACGCGGGTTAGACGAGCTCGGCGTGTAGGGCGTGTGTAGAGGAGCGTGCAACAGTGTTGCAACAAAGCCGGCGTAATTAGTTTCGTTAGCGATTCGAAGGGCGACATCCGATATCCGGCGGTGCACCGAGTTACTTGTGATTCATAGACGCCATTTATGGACGCTATTATATGAACGAAGTCTAGTTCTTTTGATTGCCTAACTGAAATTTGAAATTTTTGGTTTGATTCAATTTTATTTAATGAAAATTAGAATAATATTGTATAAGCAAAGTATTATAATATATAATTTTTTTATTATTAATTGGATTTTAAATAAAACTACAATTTTCCGGTATACATTTAGTACGTTTACTAAAAACGTAAGTGTTTTGACCATTACATTTATATAATATACAAAATATATAATTTAGAAATAAAAGAATATATTTTCAAATGGAATTCTTAGAAATGAAATCATTTGATATTGACGAAAAGGATATTAATTAATGTGACAGTGATAGCAAAAGTTTTTTCATGTTGTTAAATCTGCATATTGGTTTGCGTCCGCCGTACTTTGTGCGTTCAAAATTGTAACAACTAACAAGCAAAACTAAATCAAAACTTTTAATAAAATAGCCTGTAAAAACAGTTTCGTCGTCACACGCGCGTTCCGACTGGCCTAGTTTTAGTTGATTAAAAACATACAAATAACAGAAATATTTTCATAGCAATCGGTACTCTTTGTTTGAAATAAATCTATACATATAATAAAATTGTAACCAAGCCAAATCTGTACATTAAATATTTTTTTTGAAAATCTTATTGAAATTCACATTATAATCGGTACAGAGGCCGAATCTATAGTTTTTAGAATTTTTCTCTGTCTGTTACCGCATCACAAAAAAACCACTGGAGGGATTTTGATGAAATTTGGTATGGTGATAGCTGGTTATCAGGGTCAACATATAGGATAATTTTTACCGTGGGAAAATATCTCATTTCTGAGAAAAAATACAACAACTGCAATGTTAGAGTATACTAAAATATAAAACCTAAGAATTTGATTTTTGGTCATCTGAACGCGGGCGAAACCATATAAAATATAATAGTTTTTCAAATGTCATAAAATATGTTTTGATGTTATGACTTTCAATAAAATTTTATAGTATTTTCAATACTTTTAATTTGAATTCTTTAAACGTTGTCATAAATAAATATTAGATTTATTAACAATCTTTCTAATTAACAAATTGAATACTAAAACAATTTATTAATAGAAATTCAAAGAAATTGTTATATGTTAACAATTTTAAGCATACATTGACTTGGCTTATATAAGGTGTCAAACAATTCTCTATTGTGTCCGAAGCGTATGTACAAAGGTGAAATCGACTAAACAAATTCATTATTCATTTTAATGATTTCACAGGACTGAAATGTAACGACTGAAATGTTTTGTAAGTCAATGTGTTCGAAATTTTTAACCAAATGTATGTGTGTCAGGCACATTGGAGACAATGTGACTGTCAAGTGTCACGTGTATGGGGCAGGGGTCTGTGAATATTCGCATACGTCGCACCGCGTGCATTACCCATGACGCTTGCACGGTGTTTTCTAAATAAGCGGTCACGTGCGCCAACCTTGGTGTGACCTGAATTAAAATAACGTTATGGGTGCTGCAATGAGTATCAAATAAAATGATTATCATAAATGATTTATGGCATGTGATAAAATGATAGTGACTAAGTTGATGTCTCATTAAAAATGTAGAACAAATTTATCTAATAACATAAATACCTTGGGACATTAACACACAGCACCATCTAGTTCCATGGTAAGCTACGAGACTTGAGTTATGGATACCAGATAGTTTATACACTACACATATATAACTTTAAATCTAATCTAATCATAATAAAATCTATTTACATAAAAACTAACAAATTAATTTTTACGATACTTTCAAGGAAACGTTATGGTACTTCAAATTACGTCAACAAGAATGGTATCTACTTACTTCATGAATTCGCGTGTACATATAATAATACCTGATAATTGATATATAGGATGTTTTGTACAATATCGTACAGTTTGCAAAATTTTAATTTTATTTATTTATAAAATTTATTTTAATTTTAATATAAATTAAATTTTAATTATTTAATTTAATTTATTATTTAATTTAAATTGACATATTGTTTAACAATTAGCAGTTGTAACTAGTATCATTTCAATATTACAGTGTCTGCGTACAGTCAGGTCGTCATCTGGTGCTGTTGGTCGAAAATGAAGCGAGCCACATGTCGGCTCGGCGATGCTCCGACTGCGATGCATGACTTCCAATAAACAAGACAGTATTTCTTTCAATAACACTTCTTGTTGCTATGTTTTTGTTTTATTAATCTTGCTAACTATAAATAACATAAGAGATTTATTATTACATTCTTATTGAAAACGTTAGAGGTACATATTATTTTATGTACACAGTACATATTATGTACATATATATATATATATATATATATATATATATATATATATATATATATATATATATATATATACTGAATTTTGTAGTTGTATAATCAGCCTTTGTTTTTCTATTAAAAAACCATGGAAGAACACCTAATTATTTATGTTAAAAGAAATAAAACATATTAACATAAGTAAATTTAACCGTGAATAAACTTCAGTTATTTGCATAATTTAATGTTCTCTCTCGTTATAATAATATTTCGTTACAAGATAGGTTCAAAGGATTAGAAGTAATGTGTACCTACATAAATTACAAACTAACTTGTATCGCTGCATACCTCACGTCTTGACTCATTACCTATGACTTACTGAAATATTGCAAACATCTATTGAGATATAGAGTACCTACTTAGTACTTTGGTATAACCAAACACTACATTTCTTGATTTTATATACATTTAATTTACATACATCTATCTATACATATAATAAAATTGTAACTAAGCCGAATCTGTACATTAAATATTTTTTGGGAAATCTTATTGAAATAGACATTATTATCGATACAGAGGCCGAATCTATAGTTTTTAGCATTTTTGTCTATCTGTCTGTCTGTCTGTTACTGCATCACGGAAAAACTACTGGAGGGATTGTGATGAAATTTAGTATGATGATAGCTGGTTATCCGGGTCAACATAAAGGATACTTTTTACTGCGGGAAAATATCTCATTTTTGAGAAATCTATACTAAACGTTAAAACGTAAGTAGGGACGAACCCGAGTGGGGCGAGGGTGAGTTGCTAGTAATGTATAAAACTCGACATAGATATGTCAAGCACTTACTTTATATAAAAGTATAAATAATATATATTCTTTTATATAAAGTATATATTTAAAGACAATTAAGTTTTTATTTTCTTTTATTCTCGATGTATAGACTGATTATTCAGTTTGATTGGATATCATTTCTTGATAATAGTTAGCATTCAGTTAGTTGCAATAGCGGCACACAATGCGTCACAGTGGGCAAGAGTGACCAGGCGCGACCTCTGCTCGGTCATTAGAGTGCAATTGTTAGACGACGGCGAGCAATGACCAGTGACTGCCAGCGACCAGCATTTAGGACACTTTCATGTTATAAATTGTCGGGACGTGCCAACTAATGCGTCCAATATATCTTCCAAATTGTTGCTACGATATTACGCGACATTAAAAAAGTCGTTAACTTTGTTTGTAGATGCTTCTTTATACGTGGAACAATAACATGGCTAAATAAAGGCACGGGCAATGGCGACACTTGTTTACTTGTGTTCGGATTTCCTGATATAACTATACTAGCGACTTTCCCTGGCTGTGCTCGAGTGAGTACAAACCTTTTGCATATATAATATTGTACATACTTGTATATGTATATGTCTATATATTATGTTACTTTAGGTCTATTTGTGTATTAAATTTCATTAAAAGTGTGAAGAAACAAAGAGACAAACAAATAAACTTTCGAGTTCATAATATTAGTGTGATTGCAAATCTAGATACATTTATAATATTATGATATTATAAGATTTAACTATCGGATGGAAGGTCCATAAAATATGTTACTTTAGCATCCTTTACTGCTACATAGTTGTACTGGTGATATTGTGATTATTATAGGCTATGTATAAAAACTACATTAAAAAATATTTACATAGTAAATAGGTTACAGTTGAGGAGAATTGCCATTGTTATTGTCTCACTTTTATGTATCTAGCGTGCTTAATATTAATTCAGACGTCAGTTAACATTCCGAAGTCCGTGTTTGTTGCGAATCTAGGGCATCTGGCTCCCTCGGGAACTGTGGGACCGGAACGTGCGGGGCGAGAGGCAGGGCGGGATGTCGGGAGGACAGTTGGTAATCTTGTTTTATGGTCGACTGTCACTCTGTCCACTGCCCATAAGGGAACTGCTTACACTCGTATACTACAAAATATGTGCACCGTATAAAAATTAAAAACACAAGTAATATAAATTGATAAACTTCATTTAAAATAGAATAAATGACATTGCAAAACTGTTTATTAGTTTGCAACGTAATTGGATTTGTAATTTGTTTTATTTATTACTAGCGACTCACTCCGCTCGCTTCGTTCGGGTTCGTCCCTAGCTTGATTCCCCATACAAATTTCATTCCCATTTTCACCCCTTTAAGGGATGTTTTCCGGAATAGAAAGTATCCTATGTCCTTCCCAGGGTCTTCAACTATTATCTTACCAAATTTCATCTAAATCAGTTCAGTAGATCCAGAGATTACCTCCTACAACGTCACAAACTCACAAACTTTACCTCTTTATAATATTAGTATAGAATTGTATATAAGACTAGTATATGCCCGTCTCTACGACCGCGTTAATTTATGCATAATTGCTCAACTCCTAAGGGTTGTAGCGTGATGAAAGATGTTTTTGTATTTTAGACAATAGAGTGTTCAGTAAAAAAAACTTTACAGCTTTATATAATAAATATATACGAGGTTATAAATGCGATCTGGAACATTTATTAATGCATAACTTTGATGCATTTAATCACATAGGTAATTAGAGGTAATCATAGGTAACATTGTAGAAGCTTAATTGAATGTGAAATAAAGTGTATTATAAAGTAACATATTAAATACTAGCAGAAAAATCTACAAAAAAAAAAACTTTTATTTTATATAGCTGTATTGTCGCACGGGTTTGTCCTTGTATATTACAATAATATTAAATTATTTGGATATTATTATCCATACAAAAATATTAAAATCGCGATTAAACAATGGGGGGTGGGGGTAGGAGGGCGAAAAATACTTTACGACCTATTCTCACACCTACCAAATATACAAAACAAAATCATTAAAATCGGTCGAGCCGTTTCGGAGGAGTGTGACCACAAACATCGTGACACGAGATATATAAATGAGATATTAGTATTGTGATTTGTGACTATGATTTATGCTAAGTCAAATATATAACGTTGTTGTTTCACCTAGGTACTATAGGTAATTTACTGTCGACACTAGGTACTTATTTCGATTCACTCATAATATGTGTGCCACCTACTGTTTGTTCCTATACTAAAACTAAAGAATCATGCAATATTGCTAAAAATTTAATATATTATGTACAATATGTGTATAAAGGCACCCTTCTTTTAAATTTTGGTGCTATAACTATTCATTTTTTGTTTAACTTTGGAAAAGTATTTCAAAATATACTCCTTTATTTTTTACAATGTAAGCAGAGAGGTTCGAAATATCAATTTTAATTACATTTTATGTCCGTTTACAAATAACATTCACTAATTTTTGTATTACTTTTTAATATACCTTTATATTGAATTACAAGAAATATAAACCAGTCCATAAAAAACTTATTTAAATACGCAGTTAGAGTTCAGTTGTGCGTGCAGTGTACCGTATGTAGGTAGATAGCTACTATGTCTTCAATAAACAAGATAACCTGCTTACATACACTCTGAATTTCACATCGCGTCGGCGCCCGGTACATTTTGTTAACCGTGAAACTTCCATCAATCAACGTCAATAAATATGTATGTAAGAGCTCATACATAAAAATATCTCGTATGACTTGTTCAAACGCATACTCGTTGCTACATGCTATATATAGTAGGTATACCATAAGATATGAAAGTATATAATATTATTATATATAAGTATATAATATTATATAAAGGGCCCTAATTTATAAATAATTTGAAAACCATTAAAAAAATTAACGTTTTCCTTGATGTTATGTTAGTATAATGTCTAATTATGTAGAGAAGTGTAATACTACAGTGTGGCTACAGCGGAAATATATAAATCGTCAGTTTCCTGCTGTTGTTTGATACAATTTATGTCATGTATATATTTAATCATTTTGAAGAAAATATAATTTTTCAGGTTTCGTAGTAAAAATGCATAAAAGAACTTGCTGTACTTATTATTTCGTTAGACATTTTCTTCGGAGACTATCGGTAGTATTAGTTATTATTATATACTCGTAACATGAACTTTAAAGGTGTATATATAAATACTTTAGATATAAGATAACATTAATATAAGTGCAAATGTCTCTTATTAATCATTAGACAATGCTGTATACAAATGTAGAGGTAGGGCTATATACATAAGAGGTGATAAAAATTTGAATGCAATTTATATTGTGGTGTGTATAATATCATTGCATATTTTATAGGAACGATTTATTGCTATCTTTCGACTTCTCTAAGCATAACTCGTATTATAAACTAACATATAATAATAACCATACAAAAACTAACCTATCCCACGGGAACCGTAAATTTTTCCGGGATAAAAAGTAGCCTATGTGTTATTCTAAACTATAATCTATCTCTGTTCTAAATTTTATCCAGATCCGTTCAGCCGTTCTGATGTGAAAGAGTAACAAACATCCATACTCACAAATTTTCACATTAATAATACTTTCTTAGATTTACGCGAATATTTGACATTTCAAATAAAACTATATTTTCGGATTTTTTTATTTTTGGAACCAAAAGTGAAAATAACTCTGCGAAAAAATTCGAAAAGATAGTTTTATTTAAAACAACCGTTCTTATTTCTCTAAACATTTTCTTTATTAAGTATCATTTATTTGGTAGCTGCGCTGCATAATATAAAGAAAGTTTCGGTAAAACTCAGGGTATACGATTTCCATTTAGGTTATATACCGTCTGCAGAACACGGTTGCTGTGCAGGCGTACTTGGTTTGATAAGACCGCTCTATTGCAAGTGCAGTGTGGTGAGAGATATTGCGCCGCCTCAGATCAGGTTCGCCGGTTTCGACGTGTATATATTATTTAGGTTGCTTTACGGC